AAATTTGGTGTCTACAGATTGGTGATCGGTTTTTTCGTTCATAAAGTGCTTCATATAGAGCCATTTGGATAGAAGAGTGATAACTATTGTTATACGCAAACTCGACTAATGTCATGTACTGGCTCCAACTTCCTCCAAAATTCACAATACATGCTCTTAACATATCCTCAAGGGTTTGAATGGTTCTCTCTAACTGCCCATCTATTTGAGGATGATAGGTTGTGCTATAGTTTAGTTTAGTCCCTAAAGTCTCTTGTAACTTCTATCAAAATCGATATACAAATCTAGGATCTCTATCAGATACTATGCTCACTCGTACCCCGTGCAATCTTACAATCTCATCCATATAAAGTTTGATAAGTTTCTCTAAAGAATATTTCGTATTAACTGGCAAAAAATATGCAGATTTAGTCAATCGGCCTACTATTACCCAAACCGCATCATGACCTTTTTGAGTTCGTGAAAACTCTGATACAAAATTCATCGTTATGTGTTCCCACTTCCATTCAGGTATCTCTAGAGGCTGTAGCAAATCTGATGGTTTTTGATGCTCGGCCTTCACTTGCTAGCAAGTAAGACATTGTTGAACAAATTAAATAATCTCTGATTTTATATTGTGCAACCAATATAGACATTCAAGATCTTGATACATCTTGCCACTACCTGGAACGGTGAGATTCTTCTAATATGTCCTTTTTCAATTCCTCATCTTTTGGTACAACAATGCGATTTCGAAACCTTAGAATTCTATCGGGACCTAGATTAAAGTCAGATAATTCTCCTTTTTTCACTCTCTCCATCCACTTTTGTATCGTTGGTTCTTTCTTTTGACCCTCTTTAATTCGATCCAACAATGTTGATTTCACCGCAATATTCCCGAAGATAATATCTTCTAACAGGTTCTACTCTCTTATTGTCAAAGCTATTTGTTGAGCTTTCCGATGTTAGGCATCTGTCACTACATTGACTTTTCCTGGATGATAATTGATGGTACAATCATAATCTTCAAAAAATTCCGTTCACCGACATTGCCTCAGGTTAAATTCCTTCTGGGAGAATAAATACTTAAGGTTTTGATGGTCTGTATACACCTCAAAAGTCACCCTATACAAGTAATGCTGGCATTTCTTCAAAGCAAACACAACGGTAGCGAATTCTAAATCATGGGTTGGATAATTCTGCTTATGAGATTTTAACTTCTGAGAAGTATAGGCAATTATATTCCGATTTTGCATTAAAACACACCCAATCCTTCTCTTGAAACATCTATATATATCGTAAAGCTGTCCTTCCCATTTGACAAAGCTAACACTGGTGCCACAGTCAATCGCTTTTTAAACTCTTGGAAACTAGTTTCATATTTAGCATCCTAAATATATTTTCCTTGCTTCTTTATCAAATTCGTTAGGAGCCCTGCAATCCTTAAGAAATCCTTTATAAACCGACGGTAGTACCCTCCTATGTGAGAACCCACACTTACATATATAAAATTTTTCTAAATCACTTGCCTTGACCTATGATTAAATCACTTATAAAATGTCCTTGCATTGCATTCTACATGCATTATAACATTTCCCTTGCATTGCATTTCACTACTTTTTACTTGAATTGAAACATTTCCTTGACTTGGTATTATTTTATTTCACCACACATACTATGACCAAATATCCTTTTTTTGTAATTGGGACTTTATATGATAGTTTAGGGGTGTTAGTAAGACATTGGAAATATTTGGAGGATAGAAACATGATTGGGGAAAGTTTAGAGGGAGAATGGCTAAGATTGAGACAAGTGGCAAAACCCTAGCCATTCAACTTTTTTGACCAAAGAATTAGAGGAAATTTAAACCATTCTTGACTCCATTATTTCCCTAACTTGGCCGAACCTCCTTAGCTTCCAAGGGAAAAGAGAAAACTCCATTCTTCTTGCTTTCTAACCCTAGCTTGATCTTGAGCTAGTGGAGTGAACAACTTTTAACTATAGTGTGTGATTTCAAGCTTGGAGCTTTTGGTTTTGGTGGTTTTGGGTGATTCAAGCTTCTCATAAGAGAGATATATGATCCTTAACTCTTGGTTTTATGGTGTTATATCAAGTGTTTAAAGCTTTGATGGTAAACTAGGAGTTGTGTGGATGATATTTGTGGTGAAATTTCTTGAGTTAAACAAGTAAAGGTAGAGTTGGTTGTTTAGCCTACCATGTGTTTGATTAATTGTTAAAACTTTATTTATGGTTTTCTTGATGTATTAACATGATTTGGATCCTTTTAAAGTTAAGGATATCTCTTGGGATGTTGCTAAGTTAACTATAATTAAAGAATGGAAGTTGGTGATGCATGTGATCTTGTGGACTGTTTTCCTTTCTCTTGGCTGACTGGATTTGAAGTGGGAGGTTTCTCTTTGAATTTGCGACTCATTTGCACATTAATTAAGCCTAGGAAACTTGGCTAAACATTGGTTAAGTTTATATGTGAGTTGAGATGGAAATGAAGCAAGTAAAGTGGTGGTTTTGGGCAAGTAGTGGACTGTTTTGGTTCTTTTTGTTGGCTAGACTGTTTTGGTTCACTTGATCATTATATGTGTTGTATTTTGAACTCCAATGGTGCTAGATAACTTGATCCCCTGTATATGAACACTAGAAGATTGAATTGGGTGAATTTGAGCCAAAACAAGTGAAGTTGGCAAGAAAAAATAGAGTGACTTTGTTAGGTTTCTAAGCTGATCAGAACTGAAAAATCAGCCAAATTCCCCGAACTACTGGTATTGATAGGAGAGGAAATAGAGGTTGTATTTGGTACCGTTGGAAAGATCTTTAAGTCTAGTTTCTAACGCCACTGACGGCACATGATTCTGACTTTCTTACAATGAGATATGGCTGTTTTCCCGAGACTGCGCGGGCAAGACTGTTTTGAAGACTACTTTGAACTTGAATGAGATTTTTTCTTTTGCTCAATTTTCTTGCACTTGTCAAACTTGTTTTCTTATGTGTATTTTCGGCCTAACTTGCATGGTGAATTAAGTTATTTTAACCACTCACTTGGTCACCTAATGGACTTATATTTGGGTTGGAAATGAACCTAGATTGTTAACGATTTCACTCGTTGCCCTAGGATTGGGAAACGGAGGTGAACATAACCAAGGAACTTGACGTTTGAACTCTACATTTCTTGACAGGTGAGTGTTCCATTACCTGTTATCTGTCTATGTGAAATATCTGAATATTTGATCTGTGATTGGTTGAACTAAACAATTATTTTGACAAATTTAAGGCGAGCATGTACTTTTTCACACTCGACCTCCTTCGATTCCACTAAGATTCTGTATATTGCTATTATGAGATGTGATTTCTCTATATTTGACTGTATGTGAGTTGTTTTGGTGATATCCCATCAACTACTGTGATTGTTTGGGTACCCAATCTCAAAGGTGGCTCGGTTGTATCGAGTCAGCAAGGGCTTGGTCGAGAAGGCCGATAAACCATAAGGACTGTTTACTGAATCTGGATCCGGTATACTCGAGTATTACTTAATTACTGTTTGTGGTGTTCGGGCCCGGTAAGGAAGTTGATTAGTGGACGGAAATTGGAATAAGTGGTGTTCTACGGACAATACATTCTTTATATGCAAATGTTGACGGAGAGTCAACGGATTCTTGTTTTGATCAAAGTCAAGGGGATTTCGCTTTCGGAAGCCACCCATATCTTTGAATTGAACTGTGATTAAATCGTTATAGTACAATACGGTGTTTACTTGTTTATATTATGCCTTCATTTGGCTATGTGCTTACATGTTTAGTTGGAACCTCACTGAGATTTAGCTCACCTCACTCCTTTTGTTTTCCTTAACAAGTTGGGGATGGAACTGTGGTTAGGCTTGTCAACGGGCCGGGTCCGGGCCGGAATTCATTATTCCAGACCCGGACCCGGCATACTATATCGGATCCGGATCCGACCCATTTACCCGACGGGTCTTTTACTTTATGTTCCGGATCCGGATTTGTCGGGTCTCGGATCCGAATCCGGGTCTACCCGAAAAAACTAACAAAATTTATAATTCCTAACAAAAATGAGAAAAAAAACATATATTTATAAACTAATTTCTAACTAATACAAAAAAATCAAATAAGAAAAGAAATTAAATTAACCTTACTCAAATACATCACTCTAATCAAATTATATTGATTAGGATCCATGTCCAATTATATTGATTACTCAAATACATCATTCTAATCAAATTATATTAATAAATATATATTTTTTAAATTATTAATCTATTTATATCCGGATCCGGGTCCAATACGGGTCGGAATACTATATTCTGTATCCGACCCTTTTTTTGTTTGACAAAACGGATCCGGATCCGGGTCCGGGTAACGGAACTAAATCCCTACCCATACCCGGATAAATTTGACGGATCCGGTTCGGGTCTGGGTCTAGACCCGGACTGTTGACAGCCCTAACTGTGGTCGAGAACTTTCATAACTTTAACTTTTATCTTGAACTTGTACTTTGGATTGTAAACTTTTGTTTAGAAGACTTTGTTTTGACTCTTGTAAGCTGGAATTTGGAAGTTCGATGTCTGCTATATAAACTAAGTGTGGAATTGTAAGTTTGATACTTAGCTCTATATTCTAAGTTTTGGAAAGTGGCGTGGCAACTTACAATTCCAATATAGTTTGTACACTTTACTTCGAAGATATTTCATTAGTTCGCTTGGATTGCTAGTTCATTAATCGGTCGAGTCTTGGTGAGAGTTGGGCAGGCAGTCCGCTAATCCTTAGGATTCGCCCTGAGGAGAAGTGGGGCTGTCATAGGTGGTATTAGAGCTTAGATTTGAATTGGTCTAGGCGTATTAGAAATTTTTGACTTTAAGATTACACTTGATCATTTTCCCTTAAGAGTACTTAAGTTTTATCTATACATTGTGTAGGATGAACGGACCTAGTAGCCCTAGTGATAGTCAGGCTGGCGAACATCCTCATACTCTATTACCGATGATTAGATACCAGATCAGGTCTGGAGGAGCTACCATACACTAGAATCCAGCTAATCGCCATTGGCATTGCGAGTGCCGCCATACTTACGCCTATCCTAACCCAGTAGTCTTGGCTGTGGTGGAGGAAAGGAAGGCGCTAGCGAAGGACAATGCTAGGTTTGAAGCCGACATGAATCAACTAAGGGAAACTATAAAGATGCAAGCCGACCGGATTAAGAAACTTGAGGATGACGTAGTTGAAGGTCAAGAAAGGACTGATGATCTCTGCGCGCAACTTGGGGAAGCCCAGGAGCAATTGGTTAAGGGAACCATGAAGGTGAGGACTAGAGCTGAGTTGGTCCTGAATATTTGTGGAGATCTACTTGGGGACTTAAGCGATTAGACTTCTAATGTAGGAGATGAGGCAGGAGCTGAACATGCCCAAGATGGGAGGTCAGCTAGTTCTGCGGCAGACTAAGTCTTGACTATTAGGTTACTAGTTTGGGTGATTTTGACCCCTGTATATAGAAAGGATAGGGGACGTGGTGACTTGGTGGTTGTACAGTTTTCTTTTGGCTACTTGCTTTAGATTTTGTATGATATGGCTGGATGGACTGTGTCTGTACTTTTGAGGCTCGTGCTTAATACTTTGGGCCTTGTTAGCTTGTAAATAACTGCAATAAGCCTTTGAATGTATAATATTTTGACTCTGACTTTGACTTTGATTTTGACTTTATTTCGATTTTTGCATTTAAATGTTTTGTATTTTCACTTGCTTATCGTGATTTTGACTTTATTTCCCTTCGACTTTCGATTACGCACAAGTATCTATTATATACGAATATTTGCTTACACCATTAGTTATAATCCGTGGACCCTAGACCGGTGAGAAATAATGGAAGGTAGATGACAAAGTGGTCAGGGTGTGGGCGTGGACCTAGGCAAGAAGAGGAGCAAGGATCTATGGCGAATCAGAACTAGGAACCTGGAGGTGAAGAAGGGAACCAGATAGCTATGACTATCAACCGTATGACTGATTTGTTAGCTCGACTGATTGACCAGCAAGGTCAAGTGCTTAGTAATCAGCAAAGAGACCCTGAAATAGGTGAAAATAGGGCCCTAGAACGGTTCCAAAAGTTTGCTCCTCCAAAATTTCTTGGAGGACCAGATCCCGAAATTGTCGAGAATTGGTTCGAAAGAATGGTGGATATATTTGTTGCATTGCACTACACGAAGGAAAGGCAAGTGACTTTCGCCGTTTTCTAGTTGGAAGGTACGGCCTGTTCCTAGTGGAGCATAGTAAGGGCAAAATGGGACAGAGAGCGAACTCCATGTACTTGGTTTAACTTCACGAGGGAATTTAACGAGAAGTTCCTCCTGCTTTTAATTCAGGAGAAAGGAGAGGATGAATTTATCAAACTATGCCAAAGCACTTCAAGTGTGGCGGAATATGAGACCCAATTCACCAGACTCTCTAAATTTGCTTTGGAACTGGTGGTTACCGAGCAGAAACGCATATGGCGATTTGTACAAGGTCTGAATGTGGGGATTCAAAAAAACTTAGCTGCAGTTCAAATTGATATATTTAAAGATGCTCTTGAGAAGGCTCAACGAGTGGAACAGGGCCGATTTCAATTTCGGACCTTTCAAGCAAAGAGACGAGGTGCATCTAGCAGCACCACCGGACGAGGCGATCAGAATGTACCGCCTCCTAAGTTTGGAAGAGGTATGAGTGGAGTTCGAATCCCAGGAGCATCAAGAGGAGCTCCATCAAGAGGGACTCACAACGGAAGTTGGTGGTAGACTTGATAAGTTTGGACCTCAAGGGGTATGACGTGATCATAGGCATGGATTGGTCGACTCGTTATAATACTCAGTTGAACTGCAAGACTAAAGTGGTGGAGTTCTGCATACCTGGAGAAGCGATTCTTCAAATTGGATGTGCAAGGTAGACTAGCCTCATCTTCACTTATTTCGGGAATTCGAGCTAAAAATTATTGAATAAAGGGGCACATGGTTACTTAACTTTCTTGATTAATACTCCTGGAGATAAGGTGAAACTGGAGGATGTGTTAATAGTAAATGAATTTCTCGATGTTTTCCCTGATGAGTTGAAGTCGATGCCGCCAGAGAGGGAAATAGAATTTAAGATCGATTCGGTGCCTGGAACCGCTCCTATTGTGAAAACACCATATTGAATGGCCCTCGCCGAACTTAAGGAACTAAAACTGCAGTTATAAGATTTGTTAGAACGCGGGTTTATTCGAGAAAGTGAATCACCTTGGAGAGCACCTGTTCTATTTGTTAAAAAAAAAAAAAGATGATAGTTTGAGACTATATATCGACTATCGCGACTTAAATGATGTTACGATGAAAAATAAATATCCTTTGCCGCACATTGACGAGTTGTTTGACCAGTTACAAGGAGTAGTGGTTTTCTCTAAGTTGGACTTAAGACAAGGTTATTATCAGCTACGAATTAAGCAGGAGAGCATACTGAACACTACTTTTAATTCCAGATATGGACAGTTTGAGTTTGCAATGATGCCGTGTGACGGCCCCACCTCTCCCTAGGGCGTACCCCAGGGTTCAGCGGGTCGCCTGCCCAACTCTCGCCGGGACTCAGTCGTTCACTACAGTCCTCAAATGAATGATAATATAAATCTCACATATTACATCCAATTCTCCAATAATTACATGTAAAAAACGAAGCGGAAACTAATTCCAATCGTGGGACGTATACTTACATCCATTTCAATTCCAAATATTGATACAAGCCCAACTCGTTCATAAAATAAATTCAAATCTAAACTGTACAAGATATATGCCATCCAGTTATGTGAATAAGTACTACAAGCACTTCCTTCGCCTCGAGCCCTGTGGAGAGGAATAAAATAGTTTTGGAGTGAGCTAAAAGCTCAGTGAGTAGCCAATAAAATCAGTACTCAAATATACTTCAAGATAAAGCATTTCAATGATGTCATGATTCAGAGATTGAATGTACGTTTATTGCTCTCGTGAGCCAGTGAAATCCTTGCACTTAAACACCCAACGCTCAAATAGATCTTGTAACGTTAACAGTAAATAGAGAGAGGGAGCCCCTTTTTGAGCTCCAGATCATGTCTTGAACCATAAACAGAGTGGAGACGTTGGTGTTCAGCACAAGACTCCCCAAGAACTCATTAAAACCAAATCATGTCATGAACTCACATGCAAGCACGCATGATATGCAATCGAGTAAATAATGCAAGAAACAGTTCATAAGTAACTTTGGAAACAGTTTAGGGTCACTCACCTCCACGGCTCAGGAACCATCCATCATATATCATTACCTTGCTCAAGTCCAAGCCCTTCAACTCAAACTCAAAGTAATCAAATGCGTTCAAAGATCGAACAACATATCCCCTTAATTTCCTTACTTTTCCATCCTACAAGCAACACCAATTCATCACAACAGCCATTCAATAGGCTCAAAGTCATTCAAGTACAAGATTTAGCTAGGAAAATGACCGGAAATGAGCTTTAAGCTAAGAAACCAAAAAGGCAGATTCACCGCTACATAGCGTATCGGACACAACCAAAACTACGCTTATCGGATTGGGGTCCAATATATACCGTTTCGAAGCTAAGAAAAATACCTACAACTTTCATGAAGACCACTTAGTCCAGGTCTCACCATAACTAGGTCAAATTTACCAAAATATCTCCAGATTTTCCAATTCGAAATTCACTGCAAAATTCAACTAGCAGTCCTGATTCATTCAGTCATATCTCAACACACACAACTCCGATTCAGGTAATTCCAAAGCCATTTGAAAGATAAGATACAAGTCTAGAATTCTTAAGAAGACATCAACAACCAAATTAGTAGTATTCCCAGTCAAACTAACCAATTACCAAAGCTAATTATCAGTTTCGGATAGAAACAGGGCATCAGGGGCATTTCAGTCTTTTCACAGGCAAAGTTACTCCGATTGGCCTGAAATTTTTCAGGAAACTATAAAACGTCATTATCTACAACTTTAATGTTTTGTGCTAAGGCCAATTCGGCTTCTAACTATGGGTAACAGAACCGGGCTGAATGGGGTTAATTGAAAACCCTAAACCGAAATTCATGCATTCAAGTACTAATCTTCCATAAAACAACATCTAAAACAACTAAAACCCACTAATAAGCAATTAATTGAAGTAAAGAGGATGTTCTAGATAAAATACCTTAAAACCACAAGAAAGGTAGGAGCTTAATCTTTCCTCCTCCAAAACAACTCCACCAACACCTTTAAGCTTCCTAGTTGAGCACTTGTATGGTGTAGTTTGTGATTTGAGTGGTTGAAACTCAAGATTTGAGCAAGAATTGAGGCTAAAAAATGGAGAACTTTTCTTTCTTGTTTTTCTCCTCAAGCCAAGACCAAGAAAATGGAAGAAAATTGGGTCAAAATTGGTTTTTAGTAAAGGTGAAAGTTAGGTCAAAGTCCAACCTCCAATGGGTTTGCAACACTTGGCCCTTCTAGTGTTTTCTCTAATCCTTTGACTTCCAATGGTTACATCATATAACAAACCTCTAATTAACTCTTAACACCTTGTAAAATAATATTACTTAATACAAAACTCCAATAAATTGTCAAAAAAATATCGCATTTACCGCACTAGCGGGTCCCACGTCAATGATACACTTCAAATTCAACGTGGACTAACTTGTATCAAGGAAATGATTTGAAAACTATATTCCCTTATAAAAGTGTATTTGAAGAAAGGCATAAATTTATAGACAAGGAAACAAAATAATGTCTAGAAAATATATAAAAATTTTCGGGTTCTCATACTCATTCTTTCGGGGCGTCACATGCCGTTTGGTTTAACAAATGCTCCGGCTGCATTTATGGATTTAATACATCGAGTCTTTAAATCTTATTTGGATCAATTTATCGTGGTGTTCATAGATGATATCTTGGTACATTTTAAGACTCAAGAGAATCATGAACGGCATTTGAAAATAGTTTTGCAAACTTTGAGAGAACATCAATTATATGCCAAGTTTAGCAAGTGTGAGTTTTGGTTGGAGCAGATTTCTTTTCTAGAGCATGTAATATCTAAAAATGGCAT